AAATTTCATCAGTTTTGAATATTGCACTATCAAGACATGGGTTTTTCAAAATATCCATGTTTTACATAATACTTTAGAAAAAATATATATATCTTGGAAAATTCATATCTTGATAATGAAATACTCCAAACTGATGAAACTTTATATATGTGGAGAGTTTAATTGAGACTTGTATGCATACAAATTTTCAGGTCAAAATTCAAAAAAAGATATTTCCTTTTTCGAAAACTGCTCGTCCAGAAGAAGTTCTGGAAAAATCATTATCTTGTTTAGATTTGAACAAGAGCAGAAATCCTTTAGGATTATGTTATTGTCGTGATTCTCGACCTATGGGAATAGTGTGACAGTAATTGGAGTGAATCATCTGCCAGTGTTTTCTCGTTGAAATCTAGAGCGTATAAGCGCTTCAATATGTAACTGTAAGCTCCTTCCAGTGAGAAATATGAACTACATAAAGAGAGCTTTTTTCCTTGAAGTTTCACATTGATACCTCGATCAGAACACGAGGAAGAAAGTTTCTAAAAATATTCTCGATCTAGTTCCACTCATATTGTATGAAAAGGGATAGAGTCAACAAAACAAAATCACTGTGTGACGATTGATCTTCATACAAATGATTCAGAGCATGAAGTTTTTAGATTTTGATATGGGTAATTTTCCTTCAAACCCACATCCTATTTCAATCATTTTATTGCGAAATTCCTTCTAGATTAGGGCGCATATAAGGAGAAACACATAAATGATCAGGAATAGAGCTCAAACTCCATTTTTCGAATAGTGTTAGCACATATTTTACACATTCAAGTCATGAGTATCTTGTTTCGAATATTCGCGTCGTAAATCACTTACCAGTCTAAGTCGACTGATGTCAACCAGTGATCTAAAATGAAAACTTCAACATGAAAGTGTGCTTCTTTAAAAGCAAAAATCGTCCCTATACGGGTCATTGAGATTTTTCGATCATATATAAGAGATCGAACTCTAGGGTGATTTTTAGGATTCACTTCCAGTTTTCATAGTGACAAATAGACAGCATTTTAGCTTTGTTTTTCGGACTTAGAAATTCTAGGTTTGCAAGGAATTTTTTAAAACACGAGCGGTTATGAATGTTGAAAAATATAGCAAAAATTTTGCCTCGTCCCATCCCTTCACACACTGGCGGACACATAGTATCGACACAGTTTCTGAGTGTTACAATGATTGACGTGGCTTGACATTTCCTTAAAGAGTGGAACGAATCTATCGTATTTCATATTTTAATCCAATAGTGATTATACCGCAAGCTTTTTTATATGAATGCCACGGTCTTCCTCAATTATGATTTCAACGGATTTTAGCACGTACATGACGGTAGAAATGAGTTTTCGATTTATTACTCTTTGGCATTCGGCAATACTGTGCTCATCGAAGTTAGGTTTCTCCATTGTGGTTAAGGTTGCTTCATCATGTTTTACATTTCGATCCCACAGGAATTACACTGATAGCCTTTGTACTCAATGAAAGCAGATGAAAAGTTTCATTCGAAAAATATTAATAGTTATTCATGAAACAACAATCGTCTATAGAATTAAAGAAAGTTTCAATATTTAACGGATATAAGTCGAAACTTGTATGAGTAGTCCATTGAAAAAAGCTTACACGTCTCAAAAAGCTTTATGTCCTTATGACTTTCTAGAACTCGCTTCGCCCATCATTCTTATACGTACAAACGATGTTAAATATGATAAATAAACAACTATGTTAAGGTCGGCATGCTGAAACTTCCCAACCTCTCTGACTGATAGAGCTAAAGTGTTTATCAGTATTTCGAGCTCAATAGCGTTATTTATTAATCAAGTTTAAAATCATTTCAATAAGAATGATTAGTATGGTGAGCTATAGAAAGTCCTAATGACAAAAATCCTTTCCCGGCACCTACGTTTTTTAGTCGACTACTCGCGGAAGTCTCAAATTTTATTCGTTCAATTTTGAACTTTTCTTAAATGTATAGTCCATCGCTTTTGACTGAATGACCATTTAAACTTATAGATCCTGTTTTTGACGAACCTTTATTCGGTAAAATTCTTACTTAAATCATCGAAATCCTATGAGGTAGCTGCCTGGAACAAGAGTTTTCCAAACTTGAACACCAGTAGCACACCTACGGTTATAAATGAACGAAATATTATCTGGATTTACTGATCTCTAGTCACTTCATTCACCCTTTCACAACAATGTCAGACGCTCCCAGAATCAGCAATTTTTCTTAGGATTCCCTTCTCCCGGTAATTATAATATATTGGCAACAATTTTGCGTCAGTACGAGATGACCATTTGCCAACGACGAAGGGTCCCCATCACCTTTTTGATGTGTGTGTGCGTTTGGGCATAACTGAGCAAAAGATCAATTCTCACACAATCCACTCTGGTTCTTACCCACTCTCACATACGAGAGCGTGGTGTGCGGAAGCATAGATTCTGTTCATGGATACACACACGCCCAAAAAACTGGGGAGGGGGCGGGGGCGTTCGTCATTTACTATTGATTATTTCATGTAGAACCAAAAAATATTGACTACATATAATGATTACTCACGAGGGAACCACCCGAGGTGTCAAAAAGCTTTTCAGTCGGAGATATGATGGTTAGATAGGGCATAGCTAGGAGTGATATACCCTAAGTTAGTTCGGACCCAAGTTGCTTCTAGCAGGAGTTATGAAATGTGAAATTTAGGTATAAAAATGAATCAGGGAAGGTTTTCTCCACTATTGTAAGGACAAAACATAGTGTTATTCGGGCNAAATGGAGCACATTTAGTGAAGAAAAAGAAGCTCTTTTAGCCGTTGGTACTAAATTAAAGATTTTAAGTGTTCATTATTTTGGTTATAAATGGGAAATTGAAGTTGAATTAATGGAAGATGATGAAGAAGCTTAATCACTTACAATTGTAATATAGATGAAGAAATGTTTGAGAATAGAAAAAGAATATCATATAATGACTCGAGTAGTCAAATTTACTATGGTTCGTATTCATAAGTTTAATAAATATAATTTTGTATAAACTTCAATTTCTTTGTGAAAGATGCTTATTGAAATTGAGGTCTGTAACGAATCGATCGGACAAATCATATTGTCTTAAGTTCTCTTTTCTGCATTTCTGTTTTAACATATTCAATTGTTTTTGTTCGATATATGCTTCTAAGCGATCTCTGTTTGTATCAGTTTTTAAAAACGATTTTCAAGAAAATCATATATGTTCTAGAACGTCATCTGTATTATGAGTTTTTTTTTTTATTCGAATAGAAAGAAATCAACAAATGTAGGTATCCTCACTTATCAGCTCAAATAAGTATACTACGTCAGGAAGAGGAGTAGCGTAAAAGAGGTCATTTTGATTCTTTTGATTTCATGTCTTCTTAAGCCAAAAACTCGAAGTTTATAGTAACTTGTAAATCACTCATCAATACTTCTCTACTCTGAACTTTTCAATTTTTGTTGTTGTACCAAGGAACCGTTTTTCAAAAGAGTGAAATTTTTTTGATTATTAGAATGAAAAATTTCATGCCATGATCTATCTTATTTCCAGTAAGAAACGTTGTCTTCTGCTGGATGTCTTTGTCTTACTACCTTTTTTCCTATCATAAAACACAAGTTCAATGATGCTGTTATTATTGGAAATCGAGCGTTGACAATGCATTGATTTTTTATCTATTTATTCTCCGTTGTTAATGTTTTTATAAAAAAGTATACTGAACGAATAGTAAAAAGACGAACATGTAAGGCACATGTATATACTCATCAAGCATTGCAGATAGAGCAGAGATCAATAACTACAATAATAAAAACCAAATTTGTCGGTTTTGATGGAAAAATAATTCGATCAACGTTATAATTTTTATGATGATATATTTTTTCCGATTGATTATATTCTTTTGAATGAATTTCAATGGAAAATCACATGGTATTCATAATATTATTACAACGACAACTACATTTACTTATTTTGAAGATTTAAAAAAAAATCATTTTTGTTAATTATAGAAGATACATTAGCGTCTACGAATGATGAAACAACTGAAGAAAAATTTGTTGAACATGCTAAATAATTAGTTGTTGATACATAAGATATAAATGGTGGTTATATTCTACATCATCAAAAAATACAGGAAAAAAAAACAAAATGAGCTTCTTCATCAAGCACCAACATTTAAAAGATGAGGGTATGGGTGTGGGTGGGGTGTGGATGTGGGTGTGATTATGAGAAGACCACGATCCATACTCACACCCATACCCACCAACATCCACATGCCCTCACCCACACCCACACCCACTATCAGGATATGACAGTTGTAACTTTTAATGGACTACCTGAAGATGTATTCTAAAACAATGTATTTCTAGAAACCGAAACTTCCTTGAAAGCAGATTCAGAAATCCATAAGTGTATCAGAAAAAATATCCGAACCCATCTTGGATTTCTGAAAACACCTTACGGTTTCAGGATGACCGGAAACTGTTAGATTTTCGAAAAGTCGCGTAAGAAAAGTCAGCAACGTATTCTCAGAAATTCTGGTGCTATCTTCACCTTTGCATTTTTGATTGACAGGCATCACAAATGATGAAAGGGTTTAATAAAGATTCAGAATGATTTTTGAGTATATCTGGAAAACCCTTCAGGAACTCTGAGTTTTCGGTTAAAATTTTCGGACACTTATGAAGTTTTATAGAAAACATGAAGAGCATTCGACATTTTTTTTTGTTATTTTTACATTCTGATTGTATAGTTTATGGATTTAGGCATGATCCGACATGCATTACAAGAAGTGACTAGATGTCCTTGAAATTGTTTTTAATTAAAACATTATTATTCATCATTTTACAATAATATATTAAAATCAATGTTTTTTATTAAGAAAGAGCAAGATTTCAATTTTTAATGAAATAATTTGAGTTCATTTTGAATAGACGGTCTTTCGAATAAATTGAAGATTAAATTGGAAGATTTGAAAGAACAAGTAGTTTAATGATAAGATAAGACCAAAGGAAAACAATGATATTGTTTGGATTTTCTGGAAAAAAAACTATTCATATGAAAACTATAATTATTTAATAACTTACTTCTCACACTATTTCCCATTGATATTGGTGTTGTTGTTCCGTTCGCACTAAGACAAGTTGTTAAATTGTAATTACAATAGCTTTGAGTACAAAAACATCTCTGAATATTCAATGATACAGTTTTATTACCATCTAGATAACGTAAAATATAATTGATATAGAAAGAAGATGATGTTTCATTATATGCTAATGTTGTACTTGATTCCTGGTTAAATTGATATACTCTATAGAGTGCTCCTGATAGATAATACTTGTAAATATCTACAGTGACTGCAAGAAAAAATTCACCTTCGCTGGATGTTTGATACATGCATACTAACGTGTTTTTCATAGTATAGTCATTACATTTTTGAATATCAATATAAGGAGAAGCAAAATTTGCACAATAGAAACTTGTTTTATATGAATCTGCTGAATCATAACAAGATATTTGTGTATTCAGTTCAGGAACCATCGAAGAAAGTACAGAAGGTGCAGAGTTTATTTGCAATTGATTAGTTACTGATGATTGACATGAAGTAAAATTCATATTGCACATATTTGTTGCACAAATACAAAGTATTGATATATCAAATAATTCAAATTGCAGAGGTAAACAAAGTCCAAAGCCAATATCAACTGTATTTGAAAATCCTGTACATCTTTCAGTTGTAATTTTGTATGTATTTGTCACTCTCATGAAGTCATATAATGTTTTTAACGATGAACCATTAGAAAAAGATTGATAAACACAATATTCAGAATTAGTTAGTAAACTATCATCATAGCGGCATGTTAAATTAAGACGATTTAATGTTTTGTTCCTCACTGTTGATAGATCACCATTGAAGAATCCTTCACTAGGTCCAATTAATAACAGCATTAAAGAAATTATTCCAAATTGCATCTTTCGAAAAACAAAATAATAAATCAGGCAATGTTATTGCTCTATGGTCGCACTTTTTCACTCGTGTATAATGCAAGTAGATTTTTTTTCTTTCACTTCTTATAAATGTATCAATCAGTGCACGTAAAACAAAATAATAAACTATACCTTTGCAATAAATTTTACGTAAAAAGTCTTCGGACAAAATAATTCTCAAGTTTCTTTCGTTTTCAAGTTGCAGAAGACAATCAAAAGTAGTCAGTTAGAATGAAATTTGTGTGTTTTTTCTAAACTTATAGTTGAAAGTTTTTACTGACTTGAAGCTATTTCTGAAAGAGCGAATCTTTGATGTAAACCAAAAGCTATTACGGCTATTTGACTATCAAGGAATATCTGAATCAGTAAAAAGCATTGTTTCATCGAGAAACAGACTCTTTTCTGTGACATGCAATTTCTAATAAAAATATTTTTTGACTAGTTTTGTAGGCAATGGCATGTGATACAAACTGTGACATCAAATATTTCATAACACGAAAAAATCAAAATTTACAAATGATCTTCCACATATTACTCTGTGGATGAGATGAAATTATTGAAATAGCTGATTTTTGATGGTTTTAATGTTTTGAAATACAAAGACTATGATCCTTTTCTACAATATATTGGAAGTAAATGAAGTAGCACAGCTTTTAGAGTAAGTTTTACTCTACAAACTACGTAGTGTAATAGTGGGCATTCTTGTGATTAGAATTGAAACACTTTTAATCGATATGGAAAAATGTAATGGAAGTAAAATACTGTACAAGCATAATTTTTGGTATACATCAAAGATTTGTTCTTTCAGAAATAGCTATAAGTCAGTGGAAAATTCTAACTATACATTTAGAAAGAATACAAAATTTTCGTTGTGGGTGATTACTTTTGATTATCTCCTGCGACTTGACAATGAAAGAAACTTTAACATATATTTCGTCTGAAAACTTTGGATACAACGATTGCTTCTATTCTAGTCATATTTATCAAACTACTTTAATATTCATAATGTTTATCAAGAAAAAAAATTTAATGATCACAGTGACCTTATGAATAAGCACGAAATATATCGTAATAGTGCCTGATAATTTTTAATTGAGTCCTATTCATCATCAAACTATTTCTATAATAAACATTCACAATTACCAATACAAAATTTTCTATTTATGAAACAATTAATCTGTCATGTGAATAAACCTGTGTTCCTTACTTTTATGAAGTGGCATTGCGATAGTGTCAAAATGGCATAGAGCGCCATTATTTGGTAGAAAGATTACATTATACTTATCGCATTATTAAGTAGTTTTCATTGTGGTAAGGTAATGGTAAACAGAAAAAAGCGACGTTATGATCACAATACGTTTGAGTGTCGAACAATGCACTCTCCTCTTTCAGTAAAGAATTGTAAAATTTCGTTTTATATGATTGATTAGAAAATTCATCGATTCATAGAGTTTAAATATGATATTGTTGCTTGTTGTGTGACACGTTTATTTTGGGTGTGTGGGTAAGGATGTGTAACGTCTCCATAGCATGCACTGTATGCATGATGTTTCTCCTCTTCTTACTATTTCTTCTCTTATTTATTGTTCTTATATTTCTGTCCTTACTTCGTACACCGTATTGTACTTTGTCCCTATCATATTGTACTTATCTTCTGTCCTTGTTGTTGCTTCCTTTTCTATTCTTTTCTTCTCTTTTATGGACGAGTGTGCAAGCGCATGCTTTGTATGTCAACGAGGCGAATTTTGATAGGAAGAAATATAATAACCCGTAGTTCCATCACCACTAACTCTCCTTCCATCTAAAAATTGTCACAATGTGGATGTGGCTGTTTGTATTAGTCTTGAATTTCTCCACACCCTCACACCCACCGACACCGACACCCACATCCACACCCACACCAACCCACACCCACACCAACCCACACCCACACCAACCCACACCCACACCAACCCACACCCACACCAACCCACACCCACACCAACCCACACCCACACCCTGAAATACAATAAAGTGATATATGAGAGGATATGCCAATTCGTGAAGAACAAGAATATATAATTAGAATCAATTTTTGTCAACATACTGCTGAACAATTGAAAACCCTAAAAATTTGATAATCTTTCAAAATTTTCAATTTTATTATGAATTATGACATCTTCCAGGTACAATTGTGCACCATTTGTCTCGCTGAAAGGATGTCTGTCTTAGCTGATTTGTTTACTGTCATCACAGAAATCATCGAAATCTAAGCATAGAGTCATATTCCTTTGATATAAAGAACACATGTGTTTTGCTGAGAGAAATCTCATGGAATAATAGATCGTCTATAATGTGCATATATGTCATCAGATGATGGTGGTTGCTATCATCGGTATACAAAACATATGAAAGAAATACATAGGAGAAAGAGATAACCTAAAAGATAAAAAAGTAAGAACATTAGTTTACATAGACAAAATCTCTATTTGTCCGTACAAGCATTGCACAAAAAAAATCTTGATGAAAAGTTTATCTTTCATATGTATAACGCATCGACGATACTGTTTTCATTTGCTATTATTGCTAACAATTTTCTCTTTTTCAGGAAGGGTAATTACAGCTTATGTGCAAGTAACTATTTCAATCATTTTGTTGGAAACATAACCCTTCAGTTTTGTCTTTAATGATTTCTCTTAAAAGAGCATAACTTTCTTCAATCAGCCAGATTTCATTTACGATATCCATAGATAGAAGGTTATTTGTGCATAAATCGTTTTAAGACATCAGATTATGATGAGCAATAAAAATGACAACATGAAATGAAGAAGTTCCATGGAAATAATAAAATCATGATATGTATCGGGAGAATGTTCTATTTTTTTTTATCATAATCTACTTTGTTTTTTTTTTCATCGAAAGATAGCCACATCATCGATATTTACCTTTGACAATATTGCTCAATTTTTTTCTTCAAGCAAATGTAATGATGTTAATGAAATTATTCTTACTCTTGAGTTTACAATTATTTTCATGTTTTTCTATCGAAACTAAACCAAAATTAACCTTCGATGAATTTTTTGATTATACTACATTTTCATTATCTGGATTTTCTCCAACTGGTCAACATTTGCTTTTTCAAACAAGACGTCCATCCTGGAATACTAGTTCTTATGAGAATGGTTTGTGGCTCTATGACATACAAAACCATACAAAAAAATTAATTGCAACAAATCCTCATCAACGAATCGAAACAAAGTGGTCACCTAGCGGTAACTACATTGCATTAATAATGAAACCTTATTCATTGGTAAACATAACCGGTTATTCTTCCATTGATGATTTATTTCCACAACGCATTTATTTATATTCTCTCATATCCGATGAACTATTGCCTATTAAAATTGAAAAAGATATTTTTTTAACTTTCACATGGTCTAATAATGATTCAGCTCTTTACATAGCTGCGAAAAATTTATGGCCATTAGTTGAAGAATATATATTGTATAGAGATGAATGGAAAGGTGCTATTCAATATCGACAAAAAATGCAGCATATGAGTAGTTGTTCAATCTATCGTATTGATTTGAATTTAAAGAATATCTCATTACCTGTTGAGAGAAAAATTATTCGAAATGTATCCTTTCTCATTAATCGGTTACTATATATTTCATTTGAAGAACAACTTATCTTCTTATCACAGTCTACACTTGGTGAAGATATAGGTGGTTTTGAAATATATTCGATTAATCTTCGAAATACATCCAAATTGTCAAAATTAACAAATAATGAAGTGCTGGAAATAGGATTACAGTTGTCACCCGATGGTCATCATATTCTATTTCAAGCGCCCGAACGTAGATTGAATAAAGGGAAATTTGACGCTTCACAAGGTCGTCTTTATTCCTTAAACTTAATTAATGGACAAATAACACGTTTAGGAGAAAAATTTCGTGGGAGCATTAGTAATTACGAAACAAAGCTTGATTCTAGTGTTTACATACTTGGACAGTTAGGAACACAAACACAAATTTATACACAAAAATCACCAATGGATAATATAATTCTTCACAATGGATGGATTGGAACATACGAATCGATTGTATCATCCCATAATAATGGATCAATTGCATTTGTTTATTCATCATTGGAAAAACCCGCGGAAGTTTATTTTGCTAACAATATTGATCAGTTAAAATCAGCAAACGCAATAACTAACGAAAATGAATTATTTACTCGAAGAAATTTACCTCAAACTAAAGTGTACAGTTGGATAAATGTAGATGATCATCGAGTGATTGAAGGAATACTACATTATCCACCTGGAAAGTTTGAATCTAAAAATCTATCTCTTTTAGTTCTTATTCATGGTGGTCCACATGTTGCTAGTCTAAATATATTTGACCAATCTTGGCATCAGTGGGCTTCATTGGCAGCTTCAGAAGGTTGGCTAGTGTTAGAACCTAACTATCGAGGATCAACAGGCTATGGTGATCAATTTCTTAATGAAATTTGTGATAGACCTTTATCTCAACCAGGAAAAGATATTCTTTGTGGAATCGATCAATTGATTAAAGATGGTATTGCTGATCCACATAGACTTGCTGTCGGTGGTTATAGTTATGGTAGTTTTTTAACAAATTGGTTGATTACACAGACTAAACGTTTTAATGCCGCTCTATCGGGTGCTGGTGCTGTTGATCATGCTTCAGCATGGGGTACGATGAGTCATCCTGTACTAATGAGATATTTGTTTGGAGGATTTCCATGGGAAGTACCAAGTACTTATCAAAATGAAGCACCTATTTATCATTTAAATAGAGTACGTACACCCACACACATCATTACTGGTGAAGATGATAAGCGAGTTCCGGCAAGTGAAAGCTATATATTAGAACGGGCACTTTATTATCTTGGTATACCTGTAAAATTAATTATTTTTCCAAAAGAAGGACACTCATTGGATAATAATCCTTGGTATGGAAAGATAAAAGTTCGAGAAGAACTCAAATGGTTACAAAAATATGGTAATCAATCACTGAACTACAATGAATTATCTAGTCATAGTGAAAAACCGAACTTAACTCATGCTTTACAATTATATATGTTTTTATTCTCTATTGTAGTAATAATCAACACATAACATTCGTTTTGTGCTGATTCACTTTAGATCAAGAGAATGCGAAATATTAACAATAAATTCTACACTTTTGATTTAACATCTTGTCTTCTGATAATCATCACATTGTATCTTTTAAGAGTGCTCGCTCGACGGTTTTAGGTGGAAGTAGATGTGGAAACGATTTTCATCCCTTCGATCTCGTTCAACTAATTATTCGTGTCTCAGCTATGATCTCATTATGCGAATACAGTAAATATGTACTTTATTGAAAAAAAAAAGGAAAGCGAGAACTACAGAATATTAAGTAAAGAAATTCGAAGTGAATGAGAAATGCATCGAATTTAGATGAAAATAGTTACGATTAAAGTGATGATAGTGATGAACAAGAGGCATCCAGATAATTTATGTCTAGTAGCAATACCGCCAGGTGGTGGTGTAGAAGTAGTTGTTGGAATAATACTAATTATAGCGCCCATTCCAGGATGATTTTTGCACCCATAATAATAAATACCAGCATTAATGAAAGTAACAGAAGCATTAGTACCTGCTTGAGTAATTGGAGTACTAAGTTCATTAGTGGTATTAGCTCCCTGACAAAATTTAGGTATGAAACTATTTTGGCAGATTAGTAACGGATGAATTGAGACATTTGTAGCCAAAGTGAATATTAATTGATCACCAACGTTTAAAGTCAGATTTGGACTCAAAGTACCATTCAAAGCAAAAGTCTTATTGAAGAAAATTGGATTCCCTTGAGGGCAAGTTGAATCCTGAATACATGGAACAAAGGTGATAGTATACATGACAGCATTGGCTGAAATGTAAAACAACGATACAACAATCAATAAAATCGATAACAAGCCTGAAAAACAAGCCATGTACGCAATGTAGTACGTATTCAGTAAAGAGAACGAGCTGCACGTTTAAAATAATGTTATCTGTACAGACTAAGTGCGTAATTGACCGGTGTAAGCAAAAAAAAGGTGAATAGAAAAATGTTACTGAATCATGCATTCTACATTCATTTACTAGTTTAGTTTTGATCTATCAACAAGCAGAAGAGCCCTAAATTAATCAATACAAAGGATTCTATATGTTTTGAAATTGGCCAAAGCCATATAATGAAACAGAAGAAAAGAAAAAAAAATCAATATCGAAAATGTATCTTAACCCTTTGAGGACGGGTGGACCAAAAATGGTCCACCTATTTTTCAGTAAAGAAAAAAGTGTTTAGTTCATGTTAAACGATTAAATATGTAAGGTCATTAAGGTCATAAACAACTGCATGTGTCATCTCATACTTTTCTTTTNCCTGATGAAATTTATCTTCGTATATTTCGTTACTTGCACAAATTTGAAATACTGTATTCATTTAACAATCTCAATCGCGACCTTTCACAGCAAAATACCAGTTACAAAATAGTTCAACCATATCTCAAATATGTGCTTCCAACACAGGCACATGAAATTATATTTTTAAAGCTTGAAGGAAGTGAACAATATAAAGCGTTTTCATCACATATTGGTCAGTTAATGAATTTACGACAACTTTGTTTAGATTTAAGAAGAGATAATGGGATTAATACGGATGATCTAAAACATTTTATTACCGGAGCACTCTCACTACGATCTTTAAGCGAACTATCATTGTCAACTTTAGATGAGTATTGTGTCTGTGTTGAGGTATTTAAAACCATATGTTCATTAGTATTACCAAGTTTAAGCTCGATAGCTCTTTTCTTCAAATATCCTTGACGGGCAGAATACAAAACGTTCCAAATGCTTTATGTCAAGTGTCTTACAATTCGTATAAACTATGTTTTTGAGCTGTTACAAGTATTCTATATCATGCCAAATCTTAAAGAACTATACTTATCAGTGTCAGAACTGAACAGCGACTTTGAAGGTTTATCTGAATCACACGTACCACAGATGTTAGAAAAGCTTCACGTAGAATTCACACCCTGTTTGATATGGTGGACAAGGACAAACCTCAAATTTGTGCATTTCGAATATATACAGAAATTTTTGGACTTGTTTAAAAGTATTAGACTTCGATCCTTGACGCTCATCAATCTAAACGCTCCACAAGAATTTTCTAACTTTGATAAATTTCATAGTTTAATAAATAACTTCCAATATCTTGGTACTTTCCAATTTCATTTTCAAGTACACATTGCTGAAAAACCTGATTCAAGATTCTCTAATATTCAACAACTATTGGAATCGGAATATTATTCAATTTTCAGCTACTGTAAACCACTTACGATGTTTGACAGTAGCCCAACTCCACGAAGATGTCCGGCCTATACCCTTGATTCCGAGCTCACATTGAAAGACCTATTCTATTGCACTAAACTAATATTATGTACTGGAGACATTTCTTCTAAAATGAAATCGCTGCCACCAACTTTATCAATCTTATTGACATCTGATGATTATGAGTCAGGAAACAATAATAATATCAACTCAAAACTTGTGAATCTTAAAAAAATTGTCATTTACATGGGATATGGCTATCAAATAACACCTTTTCTCAAATCTTATCTAGATTAGTTCGTCTCTCTCCAAACATGGACAGTCTATCGTTTTCTAATAGTAGCGATGACACGCATCATATAATCAACTGTTTAAAATCTGCACTGCCACTATATCTATCACTAAAGATTACTTATCTTCAACTCAATGCAGGCATGCGTGAAAAATACCATAAGATACTATTTTCTGATCTCTCAAAAACTTTGCCAAATTTGAAGGTTTTGACCTTTCCCTATGTCACACAATTCATAAATAATTATCCCAGTTGTATTGAAGATCTTCGAAATAACTTTCGTCGATTGACACTTTTGAGATTACCAATGAGTCTGCATAATCAAAAACGACGGGATCTTTATCAACAATATTGGAAAGTCTTGGATGACAGTCTAGAGAAGAATTTTCTACATCTTGCAGTGGATTGTTATACAGAAGGCTCTGGGAGTGGAGCTACCGACCAGAGCTGCATGAAGATTTGGCTGTAATGTTATTGAGCGCCATAATCAAGGAAACCTCTTGGTTTTTAATAAAATTTCTCTTTAATGATCTAGGATGATTTCTCCTGCAGGCATATTTTTATCGTTAAAATACTTTTAATCTATACGCTCATAGGTTACTTTTGCGCCTCTTATAGTTCTAATACGGGTGTGGGTATCGGTTTTGGAAGAGGGATCAACGGTTGATATCCACATCTACACCCATACCCTAATTTTTCTATTTGTCATACAGCAAAAATGAATCTTAATAAAAATTATTATAACTAGCTACGTATTTCTTTTTCTGACTTATCGTTCATCAATGCTATGTATTATCAGTTATTTGTAATCAATAATAAACTATTGATATTGCTCTCTAAATCACATTTTATTATTTTTGACCAGTTAATCAGAAAAAAACCAACGAAAATTAACGTACCCGTACCAATAAATAAATTGTCACATATTACGTAATTTATTTTTGTTTACCCGACATGTTTATAGTTGACTATTATTTGTAAGTGTGTAGATCATCCCAGAAATCATGTTTTTACTTGTCAAAAACGTATCTATTGACGTTACAATGTATTTATTTTTATTTTTCAAATAAAATTATAGTATAGAGAACCTTCTTTGTTATTATTCTACTAAATTTGATTGTTTTGGGAACTAATAAATAAAAATTGTATTTTCATTAAAAAAATGCCTTCTTCCAACGTTGTGTATCTTGAAATTTCGAATACGTTTATAAAAGATGTTGCTCTAACAAGCCAGTGCTATCACCAGCTCACACGTTTTCGTCATCATGACATATATTTGATCAGAGTCTTTTTCTTTTCTTTTGCATTATTTCATAAGAAAATAATATACATCGAGTTTCTTATGAAATTATTCAAAAGAAAAAGGATAATAAAATCTTATGTTTTTTAATCATCACCATCTGGATAATCAACTTCATCACTTTCATGATCTGATACTATTTCTACTTTATTTCGACCAAGTTCATCTATATGATCATCATCAGTATCATTTTCAATAGCAGTTTTACGATATGTAAAATCAGTTTACATGTTTTAGGTGGAAGACCAAATGTAGTTTTCAAAAGAGACATATTTCCACGTAATCTTGCTGTTGTTTGTTGGATTAAATGTTCTTATGCTTTTTTTCTTCTCTTCATTGTATAATTGAACAGGTTCGTCTAATGAAATAAGTTTTTTTTTTTCACTGTTGTTTTACTATCACATTCAGCTTGTCGAGTTTTTAAACGTTGTTTAACTTCATTTAAACATTCATCAGAAAACTTATTATTATTAGTTGTTATTTTAGTAGAATCTTTGACAGGTTTTTCTAGATGAACTTTTTCTTGAATAATATCATTATCATTTGATGACATTGTCATTTGACTCATTTGATTTATTATAATATCACAATCCATGGGTGATGATGGTACTGCAAGAAATTTTTCGATTTCAACTATCGCATTTCGTAAGCGTTGATCTTCATTCGGTAGAGCCTTAATTAAGCGTGTATTATTCATCATTTTTTATGCTTTTTGAGTTAAAGTTTCAATTCACTTTCACTCACTTTACTACAGTTAGATTTTGTTGTTTGTTTTATCATCTCTTGGTAAGTTTTAATAAACAACGTTCACATCGATGTGAAGAGCACGACATCTGTTCTATTCTTACTTATAGCATGGAAGAAAGAGAGAATGCTAATATAAACTGTGTACAAACAAAGCATATTTGCTCTACACATTCACGAGAAAAGTTACTTATTACAACGTACCAAGAGGTAAATAATTAACTCTGATCAAATATTTATTGCCATGACGAAAACATGCGGGTTGATAGCAACATCCACCTGTCAGAGCAACGTTCTACAGTAAAAAAGAAATATTTTTCAGCGGTAGTTATCCCTCTGGCATCGTGCCTTTAATAGTATACCGATCACTTCAGTGTATGTTGCACAATACAAATTTTTGAAATATATCTATGAAAATATAGGTATTAATTACTTTTCCATAATAAACTATCATGGTAGTGGAGATGTGGACAAGTTTTATTCTGCTCGTTTGTTTTTGAAATGCATTGAAGACACAATAGTTTTTGAATGTTTTATGATCCTAAGCTTACTGTCGTGAGTCTCTTGCTAAAAGAAAAACTAATATCAACGAAAGTCACTAGATAATAGAATTCTCGGATAGATTATGTTTGAAATAGAGAGGATCGCATTTTCTATGCAATCGAGTGACGTACAACTAGATGAAATAAAGTTATGTCTCGTCATGCTGCTTTTGTTTTTTTCCACTTATACGAAAAGAGAGTCGGAAGTGTAGACAAAAATCTATATTCGATTATGTTCGTTAGTTGATCAAGTTATTTCATTAATTTTTCGAAGACATATCAAATGGAACAACAAGAAATGAACGTAAATTGATCTTGACAATCGAAAAAATGTTCAAAATCTTTAAAAATTAACGGTTGGAAGACATATTACAAATGTTAGTCTCAATGAATATGAAAAAGTTTGAATATTAGAATGATATGAAACATAGATGAAACCGTTAAATGCATACTTAGTAACATACAAAAAAAGAACGTTTGTAAGTCAACATTTGTTTATTATTGTCAATTGAACTCAACAGGTTTATGATGACATATAGTTGCAGCTAATTACCGAAAATTAAGCTACAGTATGGTGATGCTTTACTTTAATATTATTAGTAATATTTTATTTTGAGATTTTACAATACTCTAATGAATATGTTCTACGTCTATTACTTTAGTATCATTGTAAATAGATAGTTATGAATAGCTAATGTTACGTGAATTAGAAAAACAAAAGACTCAAAGAATATAGAGTAGGAAAATAAAAACGACTTTCAGATCTGCAACGATAGTGAGTTAGAATGAAAAAGCTTAATAATTAAAATATTAGTCTTGTCCAACTTTAAATTGATAAAAGAGTTTTTGTTTTTATAGATTGGGTTGATCAACTTGTACAATAAAATTTTACCGAATAATGACTGTTTTTGACTCACAAATATATAATTATGGACTTTTGTTTCAAATGTAATGGATTCGATATTATTATTTTTTTGACAGCTATTACGATTTCCATATTTAGAAGCAAACAACGGAGAATCAAACCTGATGATACAGCAATATCAAGATGATCCCAAGGCATGGGATCGAATGAACTCGGATAAACCGAGTCAAATAGCAAAAATCAGATGAAAAAATCCTGATTTTATGGAGTCAGCACCCAGTCTTCAAATCAACGAGAATAGATACTACATTTTCATTGTAGTCTAAAAACAATAATACATTCTGAAATACAATGTTCACATTTAAAACATGCTTGCATTCATATTCTTCAACTTGCTGAGCAAAAACAAGATGTTAAAGGTAAAATAACGATTGACTTGACAGCAATAAATATTTTTTTGTTTAGGTCATGTTTTTTGGTCTCAATCTTATTGATTTTCTCGTTAGCTGTATAGAGAATTTCGTTTGATGGTGTGGGTGTGGGTGTAGAGCTATTCTGATTCCACAAACCCACCCATCCTGTACTCCTCGTCAATTAATTATGATAGGACGGTTTTCATTCCAACGCCTGAACAGCGTCTCTATGGCAGAGATTAAAATCCTTCTACATGGACTTACGACAAACAGATTGCATGGGAATGTGAGTGTCGTCACGTAGCTGATTTAATTGTATTTTGGGCACCTAGTCATATCAACGGACGAATGTCAGGATTTATCACGAAGGTAGAATTTGGAGAAGATCTTCATTCTAGTAAAATTGTCTACGGTCGTCCTGAAAATGCTGAGGAGTGTCGTTGTTTAGACAAAGGCATGGAAGACTTGAAATTACCGGTGTTTACCTCATTATTAGATACACTACGCCATGCTGTATCTTTACTCGGTTCGGGTGCATGTAGAAGAAATGGCGAAGTCTACGTTCTACTATTTATTTGGGAAATCGAGCAATTACAATCATGGTATTCCAATCTAAAACTAGTTGGAAATAGTCTGGGCAAAGCAAAGCTATTACATCATATCAAGTTGGGCAGTAATAGACAAGTTTTCTCCTATGTGCTATGGGTTAAAATTTAGATTGAAGCCGAGAAACGGCACAAAGACAATGAATTCGTCTTCGCTCGTAAGGATATCAGTGTAGTTTTAGCTTATTACAAAGATAATGACAGGAACATTAAAATTGCTATAGTCAAAGAATGTCGTAATCCTGTCAATAACTCCGACGGGTTCGTCTACGAACTATCTGGCGGCAACTCACCTACACCATTCACGGATCTCCAGCTTACTGCTAAACATGAACTAGAGGATGAATGTGCTGTAATCATTAAGAATGTGTCTCGTTTGATATACGTCGGATAATGATTTATGCTGACATCGAGCACAGCTCTTTAGTAGTGAGCTTGCGAAGGAAGAATGCGAACAAATGTTGAAGAACGACGAAAATGATAAAACATTCGAAGTAGTTGTAGACAGTGAAAAAACTTATTTGAAGATGATCAGCATTTTGCAGCTACAACATAGTTTTCTCGATTTTTCAATGCTTGTAATAATCTGCCATGCACTGTACTTGATAAACACGATTAAATGTGAATTATCGAAGCATGTTTCCTCACATTCTAGACAATTTATTAAGTTCCATTAATTTTTTTTTACAGTGTTGTATCATTTTTTATTTAAAGCTAATTCACTTTCTTACAAATCTTTTAGCTATCTTTAAATAAATGCTATTTTTTTCCTCCACTGCTTCGTCAGTATCATTATTTGAAAGATCGGAAACGCTGGTACATCAAAGTACAAGTTTTTTTAACTTTGGTTAATATAAACCTAAAGAGATATCGTCTGCGCGAAACTTTGCTACCAAAGCTGAACGATTCGCTTTGTATTTTACGTAAAAAGGTATTCATTTTTAAATTCAATGATGCTTACAAAGAAAAACAAATAAAGTTCACCTGTTCTTTTTGGTCTCATTCGATGTCTCTGTTTTTTCTTTCGCATACTGTTGCTAAGAGAAGAGATCTTGTTCTTCTAATTTTCTTTCATTTAATCATTCTTTTCTTGAAAGTCAACATCTTGATTCTTCTTATATAATCTTTCTATAACTATCAATGGTTATGCTTTTTAAATTGTTTTATTGTTCATATTATTAACAAGTATTTCCTACTCTAAACCACTACGTGTTACTGAAACGCTACTTGACATAAGACTCAATGGGTTGCAGCAGTAAGTACAGATTTGAGAATAGCGTAACAGGCTCATATAAGAGTTTTTAAAGCGAACTGATACACTTGTTGAAGTAATGTACTATAGTCCATCTGAGAATAGGTATGTATGAGGCATACATTGAATTTTTCCTCTTAAATTTTCTCTTGAGTTCACCATTTCTTCCTGAAAATTTTCATCAATCATCGATTTACAAAATTCTTAATTTTTGATTGTATAAATGTAAAAAACAAATGTTCAAAAGAAATATCTTTCTACCTTTTCAAAGAGAAACATTCAATTTTCTCGGAAGGTTAAGATGTGTTTGAAGACTTCTCGAAAAATGAGTTATTTTTCATAATCATATGAAACTTCATTTTACTCATACTTTCGTATACATATATTACAGGTTAACAGTTTGTAGTGAGCAACAATAGAAACGATTTCGTTCCTTTTGTTGACTAGTAAATGATGAAATAACAAAATTCAACATGCACATCTATGAAAGAACTGATTAGAAGGATTGATATCAACATAAAAGATAGGAAATGAAAAGTATTGCTTTACATTAAAACGTGTCAATTTGTCGAAGCAAGCACTGTATCGAAAATGTCGATCAAAAGTTTATCTTTTCCTATAAATAACATGTTGGCACAACTTTCACTTACTATTGTTGTCGACATTTTTCTCATTGTTGGTAAGGTGCAAATACGAAGAATAAAATATATTCGTTTGAAAGTGGTAGGTTATATAAATCCAATCGTTTTATTGATGATAGTATACCGTGGCTATTTCAATCACTTTGTTGAGAACTAAAATTTTAAGGTTACGTATAACGATTTCGGTTAAAATGTCATTTCCAATAAATAATGTGATATATATGAGTGAATTGCAACTTTTTGATACAATTTATCTTTTAACTGTATTTCGCTAATTACTTCTGTTTGGCTCAACTGATTCAGACGATTTTTTTATTCGTTATTGCTTTTCATATGCCCCACTGCCACTAAAAATTTCGGGCCTGTAGCTCGTATCATTGCTGACTTATGGAAGATTTATGACAAGAAAATGGTCGTTTTTAATGACATGTGAGAAAAAAAAAGAAATTTTCGATCATAAAAAAGTAAGATAAAAAACATACAATTAACCCGTTTTGTACAGTCTTCGATGCTCTATCAACATATATCATCGATTCTAATTTTATATTCTTTTCTTTCCTTCGTTCAACGTACATACCATTTGATATACACTTTTCTTTTTTATGTAGAGTGACGGAAACATGCTTTGCAATTCTGCTATAGATAAAGTTCTTGATTCAAAGACGATACAGACAGAAAGACAACTTATTAAGACACAAAATGAGCGAAAGAAACTTTATATTTTCGAATTTCTTTTTCATAAAAATAGAAAATATTTTTGAGAACAAGGTGATTTCACTTACTTTGTAGAGTGACGATTTTAGTTTTGATTCGTTTGTAACTCTTTAATAGTTCGTTTAATTTGACTCAAACTTTGAAGATTTATGTAAAGTAAAAAGTTCTATAACCAGTAAAAATTTCATCTTTCAGTCTGCTTCCGTTCTGAAGAAATTTACGATATACTGAAAAATGTAGAGTGACGATTTTCATGTAAATATGTCCAGTTGAACATGCTCGCAAATAGTCTGTTCGGGTAGATATGAACTCAACAGAGTACAGCAAGCAAATCTGTATACTATGAGATATTTTTGACTGCGCATTCTCTTTGCAATAGTAATGAAATGACTCAACTGTTTTTCTCTGTGGGAACGACGTTTCATAACGGAATTTAGCAGGAACTGAACTATATATCGTGTATCTCACTTAATACTCGATAAAGTGTTGGGAAAATTTTGCTATATACTACAGGCATAGAGCATAATAAAATGCACTACTTAAAAGTTATTTAGATTAACTTTCATTTTTTTGTGTCAATTGTACCAAAAAGTTGCAATTCACTCATATATATACAGGATGTCCCCAAAGTCGTGTCCATTTAAGAAATGTGTTTAACTCCATTATTAAACAGGCTTCATCTAATATTTCTTTGTCCATTTGAAAAAGGGAAACATAAAGTTTCTTTTGTCTAATACGGAGGTCATAAGTTCCTTTTAGAGTTTATCAGATCTAGCTGCAACATAAAAATGTGACATTTTTCCAATATGAAAAAAATATTGTACAGTATTCTTTCTATTTTTAATTAGATTTCTATCGTTGTTATAGACTTTATGTAATGATCACTATCTAATGTTGGTTTATGAGTATTACGTTCATGTTCTCCTATGAACAGAACACAACAATCTCAAGTCTAATGACACCAAGATGCATAACATCATTCAATACCCTTGTTTTACCAATTATGAAAGTTTTACCTGTATCTGAGAAAATCCACTTTCCAGAACTATAGTAGTCAGTCAGTCTACTCAAAAAATGTGAAATAAACAGTTGTGGAACAGTGATAAAGGATGTTAATGACTCAAAGTTCATAACAACGATAGAAACTTAATTAAATATAGGAAGAATATTCTACAAGATTTTTTTTGCTATTGGAAAAATGTCAAATTTTTATGTTGCAGCTATATGTGATAGACTCTAAAGGGAATTTATGACCTTTGTATTAAATAAAAGAAACTTTATGTTTCCGTCTTTCAAATGAAAAAAATATTAGATGAAGCGTATTTAATAATGAAGTTAAACACATTTCTTAAATGGACACGACTTTTGGGATACCCCGTATTATATATAACTACTACCGTTAGTAGTTTTATAGTTCTTTACTTGATTCTAACTTGTGAAATGGATACCATACTGACACTATCTTCATCAATAAGTTTGGGTAGAGCTTACGAGAACGAAACGAAGTAGATTGACAATTAGGTGATTTTCGAGTTTTTCTAGATCGCCTTTTGTCTTCAATAGAAGTTGACCAAAATAGGATGAAAATCATGAATACTTTTATTATTTAGTGGTCTTTGTATCTCATGAAAACTAATTCGACTTCAATATAGAATAATATTGAAAGCAGTAATAAAAAGAGCTGGACGATGAGAAATAAACGAAGTTATTGGGAAAATATTCTATTTTGTTTAAGATGATTCAATGCTTCTTTTTTCTCATGAAAAATAAGCGGCATCATTCAAAATTAACTCAGATGAGGTTATGTACTCATATTGCTTAATATTTGTTTTTCTGTATAGATTATCGAAGTGATGCGAATACAATTATACTTACTTTTGATTTTGCAATTATTTTCATGTTTTTTCGCCGAAAATAAAACAAGATTAACTTTCGATGAGTTTTTTGATTATACTACATTTCCATTGTTGAGATTTTCTCCAACTGGTCAACATTTGCTGATTCAAATGAAACGACCATCATGGAATACGAGTTCTTATGAAAATACATTATGGCTTTATGATATAAAAAACCAAACAAAAACATTAATTACAACAAATCTTCATACATCAATCAAACCACAATGGTCACCAAGCGGTAACTACATTGCATTATTACCAAAAAATAATTCATTAATCAATAAGACCGATGAAGATCAAAATAAGCAACAACTAGAACAATATATTTATTTATATTCTCTAATATCAGATGAACTGTTGTCTATTCAAATTGGAAAAGATACGCTTTCGGCTTTTACATGGTCTAATAATGATTCATCATTTTATTTCGCTGGCATCAATATGGGATTAACAAATAAAGAAAATGATTCATATAAAGATGAATGGAAAGATGTTGTTCAATACCGAGAAAGTATGATACGTAGTAGTACAATTTATCGTATTGATCTCAATAGTAGTAACTACTCATTACCTGTAGAAAGAAACATCATTCGAAATGTATCTTTTCTCATTGATCAGTTATTATATGTTCCATTTGATGAAAAGATCGTATTTTCATCCGCGTCTACACCTGTTGAAAATTTAAGTGATTTTGAATTATATTCTATTGATCTTCGAAATACATCCTCATTGTTAAAATTGACTGATAACGAAGCATTCGAATTCGAATTACAATTATCGATCGACGGCCGGCATCTATTATTCCAAAGCTTCAATGTTAATTCGAAAAAAGGGACATTCACCAATGCACAAAATGGTCTTTATTCGTTAAACTTAATCAACGGACAAATAACACGTTTAGCAGAAAAATTTTCTGGTAGTATCATTAGATATACAGTAAAGCCTGATTCTGGTGTTTATATACTTGGACAATTAGGAACAGAAGTACATGTTTATACACAGCAATCACCAACGGAAGAATTAATTCATCATAATGGATGGAATGGAACATACGAATCGATTGTATCATCACATAATAATGGATTAATTGCATTTGTATATTCATCATCAGGAAAACCAATGGAAGTGTATTTAATTGACAATATTAATCAATTAAAATCAGCACAAGCAATAACCGATGAAAATAACTTATTTACTCGAAGGAGTTTACCGCAAATAAAAGTATACAGTTGGATAAATGACAATGATCATCGAGTGATTGAAGGAATACTTCATTATCCACCTGAAAAGTTTGAATCTAAAAACCTACCTCTTTTAGTTCTTATTCATGGTGGCCCATATTGGGCTTGCCTAAATATGCTTCACCTAGTTTGGTATCAGTGGGCTCCTTTGGCAGCTTCCGAAGGCTGGCTAGTGTTAGAACCTAACTATCGAGGATCAACAGGTTATGGTGATGAATTTTTGAATGAAATTCAATACACACCTTTATCTCGACCAGGAAAAGATATTCTTTGTGGAGTTGACCAATTGATTAAAGATGGAATTGTTGATCCGAAAAGACTTGCAGTTGGTGGTTATAGTTATGGTGGTTTTTTAACGAATTGGTTAGTTACACAGACTAAACGTTTTAATGCTGCTCTTTCTGGTGCTGGTGTTGTTGATCATACTTCAGCATGGGGTATGATGGATTTGCCAACAATACTGAGCCATTTGTTTGGAGGATTTCCATGGGAAGTACCACATATTTATCAAAGTGAAGCACCTATTTATCAGTTAAATAAAATACGTACGCCCATACACATCATTACTGGTGAAGATGATATTCGAGTTCCTTCAAGTCAAAGTTATATTTTAGAACGAGGACTTCATTATCTTGGGATACCAGTAAAATTAATTACCTTTCCAAAAGAGGGACACTCAATGAATAAGAATCCTTGGCATGGAAAAATAATTGTTCGAGAAGAGCTTAAATGGTTACAAAAATATGGTAATCAATCAATGACCTATAATGAGTCATCAAGTAACAGTGAGAAATCGAAATTAACTTATGCCTTACACTTCTATATGCTTTTGTTCTCGATTGTAATAATAAAGAACTAAGATTCGTAGAGTTCCAATTTACTAAACTGCAGACTAACACAGTGTAAAATAGCTACATAAGATGAATTCCCAGCAATTAATTGCACATCTTATTTTCTGATAATCGTTACATTATACTTTTAAGAGAATTCTCTCGTCATATTTAGACTAAAAGTTGATTTTGGATCTTTCCTATGACATGCATTCGCTTCTGAAATCGAGTTCCAATCAGATGAGCGATCGATCGTAAGAAACATTTGAAGTGATGAATGAATTAGTTTCTTTAGTTGCCGTTAGAATATAATGAATATAAAGAAAAATTATCATCAAATCATTATAATCAGTGTTTTATCTATCGTAATCTCGAATAGTAAGACAGGATGGCACGTCATATCTCACCCTGTATCCAAAATATTTTTCATTAGTCATCGTTAGTATGTGTTACACAAACTTCATTGTGACGATTTTAGATGTAATAGGCACAGCTAAAGAGCTATGATTCTAGTACTTTTTATTAGCGTAAGTAAAATCGAATCATGCTGTATTTTCTTCGTTCCATATATACTATTTCTTAGGATAGAAGGACCTTTAAAAATATAATAAACACAATAACAGAAAAAAAATAAGAGTTTAAGGACAAAGTGAAATGTTGCAATTACGGTTAATGCCATGTACGAGAAAGACTTAAATCGGGCACGAACAAAAAGGGTACCGAAGTTATTACCATTTTGTACAAGAGAAGGATAAACTAATAACATTAGTACAAAGTGCATATAGAAAAGAAAGAAGGATGGAGGTATGGATAAACAGAAAGGGCATTATGGTTATTTCTATTAAGGAAGAGTAACAACCTAAATGTTGTGTTCGGTTGTTACATTCATGTGAATTTCTTCTCTAAAAAATGAATTTTTCTGTGA